AATGCACAGTATTCTGGATGTTAAGCGGGGGATTCCTCATTCATAACTATTGCATGAAGCCATTTCAACAATGTAAACAAGGTTAGACGAATAGGGCTCTCACTTGAGGATGTGATGGAGAAGGATCTCAACCCACGGAAAAGGTTCTTAAGTTGCCAAACAAGAAACTTGCCGAGTTTTTGGCAATTTAATAATGTTCCAACCTAGGTGAAATCCTCCATCTTATCAAAAGAGGATGAACGATTCAATTAATACCTCATGGGTCACACACATAGGACACGTGTAACTTGCCGTTTTAGAGGTAATGGAAGACAACGTTACTACATATTTAACTAAATCAACTTAATCAAAATTACAGCTTTGACGAACATCTGGAAATGAGGCCTTTGATTGCGTTTTTGACTTAATTAAGGAGTTAGTGTTGATCACATGAGAGAATAGTTTATAACGCGGAAAAGATCTAAAGATTTAAAGCTTGTTGAATGCATTCAAACTTGGATTTTATTATTGTGATTTCCTTGCTTGAACATTCAGTTATGTAAATTCTTATAAGGACATGAAATATTAAGTCATTAAGGAATCACGCTGAACACTCCTCTCGCCATCTGACATGTACACACGGCACAGAGCCATGATAAGGTGTCTCACATCTGTACAAGGTCACATGGCTCCTTAGCACAATCACGCGACAGTAACACCTACGATCAGATGTTCAGAGCCTGGTTAACTTATCCAGTCGTTTACGCTAATATTTTTGTATTTACTTTTTTGGACGATTTCTTTCGAAATATCTGTAAATTAACCTTTTTTTAATCACCGTTCTTGTTGTTTAGTTCTGAATTGGTACTCTGTTTTAAAACATCGAACACGAAAGATATTTGTTCACATGTCGTTAAGTTAACCATGCTTTGAACATCTTTGGAGGAACTTGATACGACAGTCATTGTTTCATGGTCAATATATGCATAATTCAAGTGTAATAAATACATTCAGTGACTCATGTATCGACATTCATCATTTGTTTGTTTTTATAATGAACAAACTTGTTTTGGTTTGTATACATAATAATTATAATCATTCCTAATTTATAGAAAAAATATGATGCTGTATATAAAGAAATATATACACTTTATCAAAGGGTTTTTGTTAACAATTTTCGATCTACTTCATTCTTCTTCACATCAAAGATATTTCATGGTTTAATAAACATTAAAGGAACAGGTCGAGTTTTAAATTTAATAATATATATTATAGCTTTTAAAACACAAGTTTGATTTAACATTTGTTAAGCTATAAATCGATAATAGATCACGCCCTTTGTTTTCCGTAAATACAAATTGCCCAAATACTGTATATAGATATGTATACCACAACATCGAACCGCAGAATATGTCAGATCTCAAAGTCGATTAATTTATCGATCTACATTTTATTCGCTACTTTTTTTCCATTCACCCATACATCCAGCTCTATCCAGCAATTTGTATGCATCCACCTATTCAAAATGTCAGTTTTCCTCTGCAATACACGAAGCTAGCTTACAATTAGCAACAGCGTAGTATAAAATCTTTCACTAGGTCAACAACCAGCGCATTACTAATATTTGTTCTCGAGCGTTCGTTGCCATAATGCTAGTATAAGGTTAATATCACCATTCCGAAACTTATTCTGATAGGGATATGAAAATATGTATACCTGCTTTCAAGGTGACGTTTCAGACGAAATCAGTCGACAAAATTTATTTTTGAATCAGACAGTTCACTGAAGTAATTTTGTTTCCACATAACAATCATGTTTTTGTACCTCAGATAGTAATAAAGATTCACAAAGGACTTCTTTAGTAATCGGACCGTATAGGCATGTCACCATATATACCTTCGGACACATGATGCCATAAAAGATACACAATAATATAACCAAAATCCTTTTCTATATTATTATTCCGAAATCTCTCAGATTTTTGGGAGACATCCATAACATATCTTTGAATTATTATTTTTTCTATAAGAAGTTATAGCACTCCCTGGAAAGATTTCTCTTCTCTATGCTGAAGTTTTTCCTTTGTTATATAATGCATTCTGTAAAATGTTAAATAGTGGAGATCATGTTTGCATATTTTTTTTATGTATAATTATATACATTGTATGATATAAATAGTACAGTATTAATCACTACCAGGACATCAATACATGTGTTTCTATTCTAAGATCATGATAAATACTTTTCAATGTATTTACATACCTAAAACGTTAATAGCAAACATGCATAACAATGAAAATGTAACAACAAATGCATTTCAAATAGAAAGAACCGGAATATGAATTCATCTATTGTTTGTTCATCAAATTACTACCTGTGGAATATCATGGTATGGTACATGTGCGTGACCAATTTTCATATTAACTGACCACCGCTCGCCTATGATAGCAAGGACATTTACGATAACACCTTACCTAAATACCAAAGTCCAGGTGTGTAAACTGTGTATCTGATGTCAAAGCCATGCCTATTTGGATGTTGATTACGCTAATTATGGTGGGAAGTCGTTCCCCAGCGAATGCAGAATCCCAAACATATGGTAGGTTTTGCACGTGTATATCTGTGTGTATTTGAAGCTATAAATATGTGTAGCATTTGAGGTAATGAATGTGTGCTCATATAAATAGATGTGTTTATCATAGGGTTTCATACCAGTATCAACTAATTGAACTTTGGGACTATATCATTTGCTCTTTCGAATATCCTTTCATTCAGCATATATCTGTGCAAGTTAATCGCTGACGTTGTTTCTATCCGATTTAACAGCTTTGAATACTGTTCAGGGATGAATCATTAAACAAAATCAGAACATATTTTGCACAATGAAAAGATTTGAATACAGAAACGTGTGTTTATGAGCTTATATATTGATATTTCTACAAACGCAAAGGAAGTTAAAAAAAGAAGTTTTACTCTATTACCGAAATTCAAAATCATTTTCAACCCATTGCAGATGGAAGACTACATAAACTTTTGCGCAGAGATATGTTCAACCCTAATGCAATGATGGGCAGTTCATCATCTATGTTTAACCCGAACGCCATGATGGCAGGTGGTTCGTCGGGCTCATCGGGTTCCAGCGGTACACAGTCGTCTAATAGCCAGTATTATGGAAGTTTTAACCCTAACAACTTGATGGGAAGCATGGGTGGGAATACGTTCAACCCAAACAACGTCAATGGAATGAGTGGATCAGGATCATCACAGCAACAATCAGGCAGTGGAGGACAATCGGCCAGTGCGGGACAATCCGGACAGAGTCAATCATATGTGGGACAGACTAGTACTGCTTCTTTTAATCCAAATCAAATGAATCAAAATCAAGGTTCCATGTTTAACCCCAATAGTATGAGCGGATCTCAGTCCGGCGCCTCCTCGTCCGGCTCAATGTTTAATCCTTACGTTGCAAATAGTATTGGAGGTGGGCCATCGTCGTCAGGTTCGCCATTTTCATCATCTCAAGCATCCCCTCAGACTTCAGCTTCTTCTGCCGGAAGTCAACAATCTGGACAGCAATCAGCAGGTTCTGTCGGGACATCTGCAAGTAGTTTTGGGAGTTCCCAGTCTAGTGGATCCTCCGGTAGTTCCTCTACAACTTTTGGAAGTTCCCAGTCCGGTAGTTCCTCTGCAAACTCTTTTGGGAGCTCTTCAGGAGGGTCCGCTAGTAGTTTTGGAAACTTTCAGTCCAGCGGAGGCAGCTCAACCGGAAGTGTTGGATCATCACAGAGTGCAAGCAATGCAAGTACTTTCGGAAAACCTTCCCAGAATACACAGGGAATCAGTCAGCCGTCCTCTAGTCAACCACAGACAACAGGTGCCTCATCTTCGTCGTTTGATCCAAATCAAATCAATTCAAACTTAGGACAACCGCAGTCAAGTGGAGGAGGGGGAAGCACCGGGATTGCACCTCCCTCCAACAGTATTACGTCAGGCTTGGGTAGCGGCGGGTCATCGGGTTCGTTTATACCGAAATATGATCCTAATAACATTATTAACACTGGCGGAAATTATGATCCCAATACTGCCAACACTGGTGCTGGAACAGGAGGGAATGCCCCATCGTTCTCAAATGGCCAGGGCTTCAACCCGCAACAGCAAAGTTTGGGAGGTTCTAGTTCTGCTTCATCTTCAGGATCACAGCC